TCAGCTGTTTGGGCATCCCTTAGTCCAGTCAAGTTGACACAAAATTAACCATCCCAAGTCCTCTCCTGGTCAGCTTGATTCTAACATGCATCTCCTCAATCATCATAATCTCTAAATAAAGACATAATTGTGCTTAATATGGTATATATAATGATCCTGGGTGCAACTGAAAATGCACTAATCCCTTTTCCAGAAGAGGTAAAGTCCTTCAATGATGTTTCTCTTCTGATACTCCATAACTTGAAAACTATGATGTAAAATTAGCAATGCCTAAATACATATATCAGTACCTCTTATGTTACATGATAAGGGAATAAAAAAACCAAGATATTTGCTTAATATGTGCCTGTGTACATACAAGCACATTCATAACAAAATGAGGAAATACAATTACAGTCCTCCTTCCTACAAACAGTCATGTGGTTGTAACTGGTATAACTACCTTTCCTACCATACATTCTATACTCCCTTTACCTTTAACAAGGACCTCACCTGGTAATGGTTCTTTACCTAGTGGGGTGACTGAAACCTTCATTTCTGAAGGTTCTAAGACATTACTAATCCTGCCTGGATTGGGATGTTGTAGTGTTTCATTGACCTTAATCACAGGGCATAGCAATACTACGTGATGGCCGCTTAGAACTACTAGAGAGGATCTCCTGCATTCCAGACAGGCGCCTTCCTACCTCTGCTGTCGAGTAGTGGTTCAGTTTCCCCCAAGTAATCAGGCTCCATCACCCCAGGCAGCACAGTAAACCATTTTCTTGACTCGGGGCATGAGGAGCTCAGGCCAGATGGCAGTCTTGACCTTCCAGTTAAGTGGGATCAGTGTTGTGTCTCCGAGTGGAAGCATTCTTCCATCTGGAACTAAGATCTCTAGGCCAGCAGAGCATAGAGTTGTGGGAAATTGAAGCAAAAATTTTACTAGTGGATCACTAGGGGCAACAGTGAATGGTAGGTGGTATTTATATTTCCATCCTTTGACTTCTAGACCTGTGACTCCTGGCTATTGGAGAAACAGCACCAGATATTGGATGCTGATTCAGAGTATACACAGACTTTGGGAGAACTCAAGCCTTGCAAAGTCTAGCCCCTAGCTGGCACTGTAAATGTCTTCAAAAGACTATACCACCATTCTGTTAAGCCAGCAGCTTCAGTATGGTGGGGAACATGGTAAGACCAGTGAATTTCATAAGCATGAGTCCATTACAGCCCTTTTATGCTGTGAAGTGAGTTTCTTGATCCAAAGCAGTGCTGTATGGAATACCACGATGGTAGATGAGGCATTCTGTAAGTTTACGGGTGGTAGTTTTGGTAGAAACATTGCATGCAGAGAAGGCAAATTTATATCCAGAGTAGAAATCTATTCCAGTTAAGGACAAAATCCTGCCCTTTCCATGAAGAAAATGGTTCAGTGTAATCAACTTGCTACCAGGAAGCTGGCTAATCACCCTATGTAATAATGGTTCCATTATCAGAGGTTCAGTGTTGCCGTCTGCTGCAGATTGGGCACTCAGCCATGGCTTTGGCAAGTAAAAGTCCTTGTTTGAGCTCATTCCGGGTTAATCCGGGTTCTCCAGAGAAATATAACCAACAGAAGTGAGGGGATCACTGGTTTAAGTATCAGAGTCCAAAGGCCCAAGAACCAGGAGTTCCAATGTTCGAGGGCAGAAGATGGATTTCCAGCCCAAGAAGAGAGTGAGAGAAAGTTCATCCTTTCTTTGCCTTATTTTGTATGTGTGTGAACTTGGTGAGGACAGATCTTCTTTGCTCAGTATACTGATTCAGCTGTTCATTTCTTCCAGAAACACCTTCACAGAGACACCCAGAGATTGTTTTATCAGTTATTGGGACATCCCTTAGCCCAGCTAGTTGACACTGAAAATTAACCATCACAAATGCCATATGCGGGCAAGTTATATGAGAAATCTCTGTACCTTCCACTAAGTGTTTCTGAGAATGTAAAACTGCCTTAAACAATAAACTCTATTTTAAAGAAATCAAACACCTAAGCAAAGACGTTAGCATTCAGACACCATAGAGAAGACAGATTCTGCCATTTAAGTCTAGAAAATTCATTAAAACAAAACAAACAGGGGCGTCTCGGTGGCTCAATAGGTTAAGCCTCTTGACTCTTGATCTTGGCTTAGGTCTTGATCTTAGGGTTGTGAGTTCAAGCCCCACGTTGGGTTCCAAGCTGGGTGGAGAAAAAAAAAGAATAAAACAAAACAAAACAAAAACCCACAAAAAGATATCAATCTGTTGTTGCTACTATATAATATCTAAAATGTACAGTTTTGGGGGTGGCTGGGTGGCTCAGTCAGTTGAGCGTCTGACTTCAGCTCAGGTCATGAGCTGGCAGTTCACGGGTTTGAGCCCCATATTGTGCTCTGTGCTGATAGCTTGGAGCTTGGAGCCTGGAGCCTGCTTCAGATTCTGTGCCTCACTCACTCTCTGCTCCTCCTCCTCCTCTCTCTCTCTCTCTCTCTCTCAAAAATAAATAAATAATAATTTTAAAAAAGTAAAATGTACAGTTTTCAACAAAAGAGAGACATACAAAGAAACAACCTATAGCTTATACTCAGGAAAAGAGTAGTCAATAGAAATTGACTCTAAGCGGGTTAGATGTTGGATTTAGAAGACTTCAAAGTAGCTATCATAAATATGTTCAAAGAATTAAAGGGAACTTTTAAAAGAATTAAAAGAAAATACAATGAAAATTCCTAGCAAATAGGAACTCCTAATAGAGAAATATAAACTATTTAAGAGCTTGCGTTTCTCTTTCCGCTGCCTTGGAACCTATGGAGTCCTGCTGGGAACAGGACTCCTAAAACGACAAGTGTGTCTGGAAGGCTGTGGTCCAAAGCCATTTTTGCTGGTTATAAGCAGGGTCTCTAGAACCAGAAGGAGTATACAGCTCTTCTTAAAATTGAAGGTGTATATGCTCGGGTTGAGACTGAATTCTGTCTAGGCCAGAGATGTGCATATGTGTACCAAGCAAAGAACACCACAGTGACTCCTGGCAAACCGAACAAAACCAGAGTCATCTGGGGAAAAGTAACTCGTGCTCGTGGAAACAGTGGCATGGTCCGAGCCGAATTCTGAAGCAACCTTCCTGCTAAAGCCATTGGCCACAGAACCCGTATGATGCTGTACCCCTCAAGGACTTAAACTAACTGAAAAGTAAATAAAGGTATAGATTTGTTCTCTTGTAAAAAAATATTTAAAAAAAACAACTAAATGGAAATTCTAGAGTTGTAATATACAGTAAATGGATGAAAGAGTCATTAAATAGTCCCCACATCAGATTTGAGGTGGCAGATGAGAGAATAAGATACCTCAAAGGTATATCACTAGAAATGATCCAATCCAAACAGCAGACAAAAAAGCCGTTGAAGAAAAATGAACAAAGCATAAGAGATCTGTTGGACAATGGCTGGTGTACCAACATATGTATACTAGCTCCGGAAGAGAAGACAGAATGAGGCAGCAAACTAGAGAAATAATGGCCCTAGCTTCCCAAGTATGATGAAAACATATCTACAGATCCCAAATTCTCAATGCCAAGTAAGAGAAACACAAAGAGAACCACAGCTAGGCATACAGATTTCTGAATGACAAAAAGAAAATCTTGAAAGCAGCAGTGGAAAGACAGCTCCACAGAGGGGAACAGCAAAATGATTAATGGCTGCTTTTTCATCAGAATAAGGGAGGTAGGAGGTAGTGGAACAACATATTCAAAGTGTTGCAAGAAAATTCAACTAAGAATTGTATATCCAAGAAAACCACCCTCTGAAAATGAAGGTGAGATAGACATTCCCTGATAAACAGGATTGTTGGTTGCAGTCTTAGCCTAAAATATTTAAAACAAATACTAAAGGAAGCCTTAGGTTGAAAGAAAATGAAAGCATACAGTAACACAAATCCACAGAAAAGAATGAAGAGGATTGGAACTGATATGTGGACAGGTATAATAGACTATACACACAAACACAAATATAAATATTCATCAGCTTAGGAATGAGTAAACAAAATGTAGTGTATATCCATAGAATAGAAGACTACTCAGCAGAGGGAGGAATGAAGTACTAATTCATGAAGGAACATAGATGATCCTCAAAAACAGGATGATGCATGAAAGAATCACAAAAGACTACATGTGTTGTATGAATCCCGTTATATGAAATTTCTAGAAGAGGCCAAAACGTGGAGATAGAATGATCAGTGACTGTCTGAGACAGGATGAGAGCAGGTCCTGACCACAACCAGCCATGAAGAAAACATTTTGAGGGTGATGGATATGTTCTAAAACTGGATTTCAATCTTGATTACATAACTATAAATTTACAAAAACTTCACCAGACTGGGTAATTACAATGGTTGAAGTTGTGTTATGCCAATTATACCTGAATACATTGGTAAAAAATGTAAATGGTGCTTGCTTCTGATTGGTGTGTGAGGAGATAATTTTCTTTTTGCTTCTATTGCATTTTCTAGACTGACTATAAACATCTATTATGTTTGGAATAAAAGACAACAGTAAAAGTAAATGTTTAAACAATAACGACTACATTTGAAGTACTTTTGAAACAAAAACTTTTTCACACACACACACACACACACACACACACAACCACACACACAAACACACACACCTAACAGGAATCCCAGTAAATAGCACTTTCTATCAGAGTTTAGTTTAGCTAAATATATAGTCTTTCATTGCAGTTAGGAGTTCAATACAGTGGCCATTTTGGGTCTTGGGATAAGGCTATTCAGATACAATTTTTTTTCCTACATAAAAATCCATGCATTTAATCAAGAGAATAAAATTACATCAATTGATGCCATCAAATTATATCTCAGGCTTTCTGAGGCTACTTATGAGACCTGGAATGAGAACAGGCATGGACTTGAAGTATGAAAAGCTGATATTAGATACTTGGAAAGGCTAGCAGCTTTCCTTAATTAGTGTTTCCCTTTTTTTTTTTTTTTTGCAGATGCTGTTGAGACATATTTTATAAAAAGTATCAGTGCATATCAAGCAACATTGGGCCCCACGGATTATGAAACACTGGCAACCACTGAAGAATTTTGCAAATGGCTTATCCAAAATGGGGAAAAAGAGGTAAATATGAACAGGCAAATCAACTAGAGACAGTGTGATCTCGGGCAAGATCCTTAGCTTTTATTAGTGTCCATTCCTTCATCTATAATATGAGTATAATAATAGGTCCTCTCTCATAGAGTAGTTGTGAAGAGTAAATAATTATATATGGATTAACTGTTATTAATAAATATAAGCATGAAATTTTAACTCCTCATAGAAACACATTACTTAGGTGACACATCACAATGAACAGATCCTGGTGAGGCATAGAACGCCTCCTCCATAGAGTTTATGGAATGGAATAGAACTGGCATATTCCTTCAGAATTGCCAGGATGATTAAAAAGCATTTTTTAAATTCCCTAGGAAGCTTACAGACTGCTAAAGGCCTCACTGAAGTCTCAGGTCACCACCTATGGTGACTGTAGTGAAAAAGTGGCTGAAACTTTTTACATCATGGGCAGGATCTGCTTTGCCAAAGGAGAGCTCAGAAAGGCGATTCAGCTACTAAGGAAGGTGCATGCTGGCTGGTTTGTACATTTCCTTCTAGGCCTGTAAGCACTATGTGAGGAGTGAGGGGTGTGTGTGTGTGTGTGTGTGTGTGTGTGTGTGTTTATGTATGCACATATTCCCTTCCTTTCCCTCCCCTTCCCTCCCCTCTGCTTCCCTTCACTTCCCTGTCTTTCTTTCCTGACTCCTTTTTTCTTCCTTTTCTATTTCTTTTTTTTTTTTTTTAAGTAAGGTAAAAATTCACTTTCTAAGATGTGCTGAGGGAGATACAGAAACTTACTGTGTCTATGCTTGGACCAGAGTCTTAAAAAGAATAACACCCCAGGGGCACCTGGGTGGCTCAGTCAGTTGGGCATCTGACTTCAGCTCAGGTCATGGTCTCACAGTTCACGAGTTCGAGCCCCACATAAGGCTCCAGCTCAGAGCCTGGAGCCTGCTGCTGATTCTGTGTCTCCGTCTCTCTCTCTGTTCCCCCCGCCCCCCCCCCACACACACACTCATGCTCCACTCAGGAAAAAAAGTTCTTCATATATTCTAGGTACAAGTTCTCTATCAGATACATGATTTGGAAATATTTTCTCTTGGCATGCAGTTTTCTTAACACGTGTCTTCTGAAGAGCAGAAGCTTTGAAATTTAATGAAGTTTATCCACTTTTTCTTTTATGGATTGCACTTTTGGTGTTTTACCTAAGAAATCTTTGCCTAACCAAAGGCAAACATATTTTTCTCCCATGTTTTCCTCTAGATATTTTGTAGTTTTAGGTTTAACATTTAGGTCTATGATCCACTTGAATCAGTTTTCCTATATGGTGCTAGGAATGAATCCCAGGTTGTCTGTTTGTTTGTTTGTCTAGCATATGGGTAGCCAGCTGTTCCAGAACCATTTTTATTGAAATGACATTCATTTCTCTACTGAATTATCTTTGCATCTTTGTCAAAAATTCAGTGTGTGTGTGTGTGTGTGTGTGTGTGTGTGTATTATTAATGTACTCTTTTCTGTTGCACTGGTTATTTTTCCATCTTCATGTCAATACATGCTGTCTTGATTATTGTAGCTTTAAAACAAGTCTTGAAATCAGGTAGTGTTACTTTTTTAACTTTGTTCTTTTTCAGTTTTGTTCAGAGTATTCTAGTTTCTTTGCATTTCCACAGGAATTTTAGAATCACTATCAGTTTCCGCAAAAACACGTGCTCAGATTTAGCTTGAGATTGCATTGAATGTGGAGATCAGGTTGGGAGGATTAACATTTTTAACAACCTTGAGCTTCTCACCCATGAACGTGTGATATTCTCCCCTTGTGTAGGTCATCTTTAATGTCTCCTGATAATATTTCTTATAGTTTTCGATGTACAGGTCATGTGCACCTTTCCTTAGATTTATTCATACTGATTTTCAACTTTTGAGCTATTTTATTTTATTTTTTATTTTAAAAAAATTTTTTTAAATGTTTTATTTATTCCTGTGAGAGAGTGAGAGAGACAGTGTGAGCAGGGGAGGGTCAGAGAAAGAGGGAGACACAGAATCTGAAGCAGGCTCCAGGCTCTGAGCTAGCTGTCAGCACAGAGCCCGACGCGAGGCTTGAACCCACAAACCCTGAGATCATGATCTGAGCCGAAGTCCGACGCTTAACTGACTGAGCCACCCAGGTGCCCCTTTGATGCTATTTTAAATGTATCATATTTGAATTTCAATTTCTGATTGATGTTGTTAGTAATAGAAATACAATGATTTTTTAATATATAATTTTGGGTCCCATGACTTTGCTAAACTCACTTATTCTGGTAGCTGTTTATAGAATCATCAGATGTCCCACATAGATGATCATATCATCTGCAAATCAAGTTTTACTTCTTTCATTCCAATTTGAATACCTTTTATTTCTTGCTACATTGGCCAGAACGTCTAGTACAATGTTGAATAGAAGTGGTGAGAACAGGCAACCTTGTCTAATTCCTGTTTTCAGGGGATTAAATTTGTCCTGCATCAGTTAGGTTTGTTGTTAGCTGAGACTTTTTTTATAAATACTATTTATCAGGTTGAGGAGATTCCCTTCTACTCCTGGTTTGCTAAGGAGTTGTTTTTAAATCAAGAATGGACATTGGATTTTATACAATTGGGTGTTGGATATTATAAAAATTATTTTTCCGTACCCACGACTGTAATCTATGATTTTTCTTCATGGATAGCTCTTATTCTTGTGCCTTTAGATTTACTATCTTTTTTCCTTCTGTAATGTCAGACCTGCTCTTAATCCCATGCAGTGTATTTTTCCTTTCAGACATTTTCATCTCCAGAAGTTTGACTTGGGTCTTTTAAGAAAATAAATTTTTCATATCCCCATTTCATTTTTTAACATGTGCAATAAAGTTTTGTTTGTTATGTACAATAACAGTTTTAATATACTTCTCTTCTAATTCTCGTATCTATGTCAGTTTTTGGGTTGGTTTTGATCTATTGATTTTTCTCATACGGATCACACTTTTCTCCTTTTATGTGCTTTGCAGTCTTTGTTTGGATGCCAGACATTGAGCATTTTTCCTTATTGGGTGTTGGATATTTTTGTATTCCTATAAGTATTCTTGAACTTTGTTTTGGGACTCAGTTAAATTACAGTTTAGTCCTTTTAGGTCTTGCATTTTAGGATTCACTAGATGAGACTGGAGCAGCATTTAGTCAGAGGCTAATTATCCCACATGACTGAGGCAAAAGCCTTCTGAGCACACCACCCAAAGCTCCATGAGCAGTGAGTGCTGATGGAAATAGGCCCTCTGCCTATCCCTGTGTAAGCACCAGGCCCTCTCCCCTCCGGCCCCTTCAGCTGATTCTTTTCCCAGCTTTGGGCAGTCTTCTCACATAGAAGTGCTAGTCAGAGCTCTGCTGAATACTTAGGGGATCCACTACAGATATTCCTGGATCTTTTTCTGTGCAGCTGTCTCCTTTCTTTAAACTCGGCTCTGAGAGTTTCCTGGGACTCTCAGCTCCTTGTCCTCAACTCAGGGAGTCTGCTGAGCTTCCCTTTGTGCCCTTCCCTGCATCGTGACCCAGAAATGCTCTCAAAGCAATAATCTGGGGGCAGTTTTAGGATTTATCTCACTTGTTTCCCTCTCTCGGGGATCACTGGTCTTTGTTGGCTGATGTTCAGAGACTTAAAGATTGGTTCATATATTTTGTTGACTTGTTCATTTTTTGGTTGTTTCATGTGCAACTGTAAATCTGATCCTAATGATTCCATCTTGATTGGAAAGAGAGGTCAGTAATAAAATTTTAAATGGAAAACTGCCTAAGAATAAAGTGACATAGGGGCACCTGGGTGGCTCCGTCTGTTGAGCGTCCGACTCTTGGTTTTGGCTCAGGTCATGATCTCACAGTTTTATGGGTTAGAGCCCCACGTCAGACTCTGTGCTAACAGTGTGGAGCCTGCTTGGGATTCTCTCTCTCCTTCTCTCTTTTTCTCTCTCTGCTCCTCCCCCGCTCATACTGTCTCTGTCAGTAAATAAATAAATAAACTTAAAAAAAAAAAAAAAAAAAGCAATATAGCTTGAGAATGCAATGCAAATTTAGGACCCAGACACAGATTTCATTGATATCCATCCATTTGGTCATAGTTATTTGGAAAATCCTGATGGAAACCACTACTGAAGCCATGTTTTGGCCCCGTTACTTTCATTCTCCGTAGCCACATATGGAGGTGGCAGGTGCAGTGAAGTGGAATGACGCACATAGAGCAAGGAGGTGTGCGGAGCCTTCAGTTCAGTCTCCTTTTCCTCCTTGGTTGGGAACCAGGAGGAGATGCAGTGCGGGAATTTGACATGGAAACTCATGATACCTCAGTTCCAGTGATGCTCTTCTGAGTTTGGTTTATAAAGAAGATGCTTGCTATCTAATTCTCCTTAACCTGCTATGTTTCTCAACTTACCTGCAGTGTCTGATGATTCAAATCCTTTTATATGGAAGTGAGCACAGTAAAAGCAGAGACACAAAAGACCTCCTTACCCTGATGCAGAGGTGAGTTGTGGCACTGGTCACCAACTAGGTCATTGGTATGGATTAGGGGATAGCATGGCCTTGCCCAGATTCAGTCAGTTAGGGGGTGAGCACCTCTGTTATTCTTGCTAGAGGGGCAGAATGCCAACCTGGACTATGGATTTGGCCAAATCCTGTGGAGGTAAGTAGTTGATTTCATGTAATCTGTCAGAAACCAGTGCTGTAGTATTGCTCTGCTGCAATAATATATAGAATTTATAGTCTCTCTTTCAATGCTGAGCATTAGAACCAAATCCTGTAAGAGAAGATCTCAGCTTACAGCCTGTGACAGGGTATTCAAAGTAAATGAATACATTCAACTTGCTTTTTCTTGCTGAATATACAAAATCTAGGTCATCAAATATAAGGCAAGTTTTGGGGGGATTTAATTAGCTCTGAAATTAGTTGCAAAAGAGACTCTTGAGAATCTTTTTTAAAATATTCAGAACTTAATCCAAAAAAGTGTTTTGTGCAGACTTGCCCTCTTCTTTAACTTTGTGTTTATCTCAAAATGACATTGACCTTGAAGTATTCTCTTCTAAGAAAGATGAGAATTAAAATTTGTTGAGTGTACACTAAACCCCTATAATGGGGCTAGGTCGTTTTCATAAAGAATTTAATCCTAACAAATAGCCAGTATGATAGCTCTCATTTGACAGAGGGTTTGGACCTAAGCAGGTGTCACCCTAAAGGCCATGTGCTTCTCCCCCAAAGCCTAATAAGGAGGGGCATTGTTATGGAGCGAGGGTCTGGACCCCGACTGTAGCTCACTGGAGGCAGCTCACACTTGGTAACCTTTCCCACCGGGCCAGACAGGTGAGCGACAAGATGAGCAGAGAGAGCACATTCAGCCCATCCAACCCCCACCTACCGGAGTCAGGGCCACACCTACAGCAGGCCCAACAGAATACTGTCTCCTGTCTCATCACTACCCAGAAGGGGGCTCTCTAGCCTCCCTACTGATGCCCGTGTTAGGATTAGTATACGGGGAACTTGGCCCCTTACCTGCTAGTGTATATGAATGTGTAGTTTCCTGGTCAAGAGCCATAACAATATTTAAATAATGAGTATAGCGTAGAACTCCTTCCAATTCCCTGGCATTGTAAAATACATCTACTATTTCTAACCCACAAATATTCCTATTAGGTGGGCATTTTTACCTCCCATGTTCAGGTGATGAAACTGAGAATCTGAAAGTTTGAGTATCTTGTTTAATACCCAGCTGGTAAGTGTTAAGTAGTAATAATTGAACCCACATCTGTCATATTTCAAAAATGCACTTTCATTTCCTGTAGAATAGGGATTCTGACTCTGATGAATTTGAGAATATATATGGAGACACCACATTAGCAGATGAGTCTCCAGAGCTGCATTTTACATATGGAGAAACTGAGGACTGATATGTTCAAGTTAATTTACCCAGGAAGAGGCAGAGCTGGGATTCGAAACCACGTCTCTGTAACTCCAGAATGTGCTCTTTGTAGACAGTGTAGCTTACACTCTGGAGGTAGACTGTCTGGATTTAAAACTCAGGCTCCAACACTCAGCTCTCTGACCCAGGTGAAGTTATTTAACCTTCCTCAGCCTCTATATATTCATCAAGAAAATAATAATAACCTTCCTCAAAAAGCGGTTTTCTGAGAATAAGATAACCTATAACACAGCACCCCTAGATCAGGTCCTGGCAGGTCTTCCATCTTCATGAATGGTGGGGTCATCATCATCATCACCAGCATCATCACCAGCATCTCTCTGATGTGCTGGAGGTAATAGATCCGAATGTTTAAACAAAAAGCTTTTGTATATCATGCAACTGTTGTTATTTTACATTAGGAGTAATCAGTAAAGTGTAGATCTCTCACCTCACGCCAGGGATGACAGGATTCATCCCTGTCAACTTAACCGGCCTCTGCCACTGACTACGTATGTGGCCTCGAGAAAATCATTTAACCTCCTCGAACCTTAGTTTCTCCATCATTAGAATACAGATAATAGTATCCCACAGAAAATTGTTGCAGGTTTTAAATAAAATAATGTATATAACATGCATAGGGCAGTGCCTGGCAGAGTATGTGCTCAATAAATGTTAGCAAAACAGCCTTCACTCCCCCTTCTCCCTCAGAACCGGAACTAAAGTTCTACTCAGCGTGCATTTAACAAGAGACACTTCCCAGTAGCCGGAGTGAATCCACTTCCCAGTAGCCTGAGGCTGCTTCTCCTCCCAGTCTTTTACCATTCCTTGCTTCCTTGCCAGTGGTTCAGAAAGAATCACAGGAGGAAGGGGAATTAGGAGGGGGTTGGTGTAACCTAACTCAGACCCCGGTAGTGTGAATTTCCCTGGGTGTGGGGAGACTAAGTCTCTGTGTAAATGACAAGAAGGCCTGACCTGCTAAGAAAATCCATGTAAAAGGAACGAATCTCTGCGAGGGCTCTGCTGTAGGAGAAGTGAAGTCCCTGGAGGTATTTCCTCCACTGAAACAAGCCCTATCTCATGCCTCAGGAACTGCTGAGAAAGCCATAGGAGTAGCTGCCAAAGTCCAGATGTCAAAAAAAACTAGAACAAGAATTGTTCTTACTTGAGCGTCTCACTGGATAATCAATCCCAGATGTCCCGGAGCCCTGCTAGTTTTCCAATGTGCTCTTGTAGTTTTTACCCCAGCTTCTCCGGAAACCCAATGACAATACTCCACTGGGTGTTCGTTGCCAGGATCCCAAATGCTTGGCCTTTAAAGCCTCTGCAAAGAAGTGAAAGCAGAAATGGAGCCTTGAAACCGGAGTTAATTCTAAGGTTAAATGATCATTGTGATCCTCAAATAAGGTTTTAGTGTATCAGAAAGGCACAGAAAACCTCCAGATTTGGAAGTAAACTTTGAGGTGGTTTAGCCTTTTACCTAAATCACAAATGAACTCCACTTTTAATTTTTTACATACAAAGCTCCTTCCAGCACTACAAATACTAATATGTTTAAGATCGAGTCCTTTCAGAAAAACAGACTGACCAGAAAAACACGTGACCAGATTTCTAGTCTGTAGTAAAACATTAATAGGAATGTAAACAGGGAGGACAAGTAATAAATTGAGAGGCTAGAGATATGGGTGGAAACTGTGTACACCGGGGGCGGCATGCTGGGTCTTCAAAGAAAAGTAAAACATCAGCAGATAGAAGAGATGCCAGAGGAGGGCATCTCAAGTAGCATGAACAAAAGCATAGGGGCATGGAGATAACTGATAGTTCTGAGGAGACACAAGTGACCATGGGTGGTCATAATTTAAGGTACATAGTTAAGAATATACTGCGGATGAGTTTGGAAAGATAAATTAGGGTGAGACTATGGAATGTTTTCTGTGCCATGCTGAGTTTAAAACTTAGTAATGAGAATGTAGGCAGGATATGACTTGATTAAGTATTGGCTTTACAACGTTAGCTCTGACAGCAGTGGAAGAATAGATGGGACCTAGGGAGAGATTAGAAGTAAGGAGATCAGTTATGAGCAGATACAATAGTCCAAGGAGAGGTGTCAGGAGCCGTAATTATCTAAAGTCATAGTAGGAGGAAGGTGGAGAGTATGGACTGAGAAAAAAATAGTGGTATCTTGTAAGAAGACCTTAGAGCCAGTTAGATGTGGGGTGTAATATAGGCAGGAGCCACAGGCAGCTTTGAAGTTTCTAGCTTGGACAATTGAGTGCATGGCAATGCTATTAAATGAAAGAGTGTTGACAATTGGCAGTCATCCTGGAGGGTGTCTAGGGGGTGTGAGGAAGGTGATTTCTGTTTTGGATGTGTTACGTTTGAGGTACCCACAGTGCATCCATTTGACAACGTCTAATGGGCTGAATGGACCAGGAAATCAAGGACACAGATTCTGCAGTGAAGGGAATGGATAGGAACCTCATGGAATATGTGTATGTGAAATGAAAAGGCTTTAGAAAGAACACTCACACTTATTTTAGATGTGTATATGCAATGTGATTTAAAATCAAAACAGGGCTCAGGGGTGCCTGGGTGGCTCAGTCGGTTAAGCCTCCAACTTCACCTCAGGGGTCATGATCTCACAGTTTGTGAGTTCAGGCCCCGCATTGGGCTTTCTGACAGCTCAGAGCCTGTAACCTGCTTCAGATTCTGTGTCTCCCTCTTTCTCCACCCCTCCCTCACTTGCACTCTGTCTCTCTCTGTCAAAGATAAATAAACATGAAAATTTTTTTTAAAAAACAAGGCTCAAATTTGAGCTTTCCCATTTGGAGTGACACTTCCTATGTCTTCTTTTTCTCATCTAAAAAAACGCAAAGGGGCATCTGACTGGCTCAGCCTGTAGAGAATATGACTCTTGATCTTGGGGTTGTAAGTTTGAGCACAGAGAGTTTACTTTAAAATATATTAAAAATAATCTTAAAAATGTGTATAAGGGCACCCTTTTAAAGGTTACTTATTTATTTTTGAGAGAGAGAGAAAGAGCACGAACAGGGGAGAGGCAGAAAGAGAGGGAGAGAAAACCCCAAGCAGGCTCCACGCTGTCAGTGCAGAGTCCAATGCAGGGCTCGATCCCACAAACTGTGAGATCATGATCTGAGCTGAAATCAAGTTTCAGATGCTTGACTGACTCAGCCACCCAGGTGCCCCTAAGAGCACTCTATTTTAAGTGCTTTACTTAATGTATGACATATAGTAAGCTTCTATGAACTGTTAATTATAATTATTATTTCTGTATTATTTGGAGGTCATGCAGAAATAGGGTCTTCTGCCATCCTTGTAGATTTTTTTATAATAGCAAAACAGCAGGAAAACCTCAAATGTCCACCAGTAGAAATACCAGTGCGTGTTTATGATCAATATAATGCGGTCCATGTTTATGATCATATAATATGGTCATTCAAAAGCATGAAGTAGAGCTTTGAAGAATTATGGAAAAATATTGCAGATCAATTGTTAGGGGTAAAACATGAAAAATACATATTAATGAGCATTATCTGTAGTATAACCCATAAATAAATATATAAATGTGTAGTTAGTGAAGGTAACAGTAATTATCTCTGAGACATTGGATTATGTGAGACTTTCAACTTCTATGTTATATATTTGTGTTGACATTTCTTACAACAAATATGTATTATATCTGTGATAATAAAAAGGATGAATTTTTAAAGAGTATGACACATGTATCAAATGGTAAGAGACAGTGAAATGGACTACAGCCAGACACCTGAGTTATATCCCACTCTTTTACTTATTAGCTGTCTGACCTTGGACAAGTCTCTTTACTTCTCAGGTTCCTTATCTATTAAATGGGGATAATAATAATACCTACTTTGGAGGGTAGTTGTGACTAAATAAATTAATGTAAGTAAAACTGCTTAGAAAGATGCCCGAAACATCATATGTGCTAATTAGAGGTGATGATGACAGTGATAAAAGAATGAGGACTCCTAAGAAGCCATGATGCTGGCAAATAGAGACTCACCACAGACATTAGAACAAGGTTTATTGGTAGAGCTGACTTTTAAGATTCCTCTGGTAACCCAGGACCTGATTAAACACCTCCCCAAATCAGGAATCACTCATTACCTGTCAAAGTGGCCCTTTCCCATACTGGACATTTCTACTTGTTAGAAGAATATTAATAGTCAAGGTCATGGACTTTAGATTCAGATGGACCTGTGTTTGAATCCAGGCTCTGCCATTTTCTATATGTCATTAGGCAAGTTATCCTAAGCCTCAGTTTTCCCTAATGAGGCCTCGAATAGTATCTATAATATGGGAACATAATGAGGAGCAAATGAGATTATTAACCTAAGGCACTTGCACAGTGTCTGGCTTATGGTAACCACTCAATAAATATCAGCTGCTTTTACCACTCTAGCTTGTCATCTAGACTTACTGGAAGTCTGAGAGTATGGTGCATCAACTTCGTTTTTGTTATTTTTAAATGTTTCTAGGACAGCCACATGCCAACAAGCTATTTTGGTGTTACTTTTGATGGGTCTTAAGATGTAGAAGCCAACAGAAGCAGCAAGGAAAACCATCCTTTTCACAAGAGGGGAAAGAAAGAATGCCTATTTTTAAAAAAAAATAGGGGGTTGGGGATGGGGACAGAGGATCTAAAGTGGGCTCTGCACTGACAGCAGTGAACTCACAAACCATGAGATCACGACCTGAGCCACCCAGGCACCCCAAGAAGGAATGCGCATTAAAGGATGAGTGGTCTACTGTCCTCTTGGTCATATGAACAAAACAGAACAGCCTCTTCTGGGCTGAGGGGCTAAGGAGGGAAAGCCAAGGAAAGTGGGATTTGGGGAGATTATCTCCAGAAAGAAGTGCAGCGAGGAGAATAGATGATGTGCTTTGTCAGCCAAATAAGCCTTAGCGATGAACTTTATGCTGCATAAGCTGGCTTCCTGGCTGCTGCATTCATATTCTTTTCCTACCATTTATCAGTAAGTATTCCAACACTGCCTCTACAAAATCAACACTGCTTCTACAAAATTAGAGAGGAAAATACTTGGGCGACCTAGGTGTATGAGTCAGTGAGGGGCAAATCTGCCCCTTGGCACCAGCTCTTCCAAATCAGGGTCCTCGGGAGAGCTGGGGGCAGATGGGGCAGGGAAAACTTATGCACCTTTAGCTCCCTGCCTCAGGGCCACCCTGAAGAGGAACAGAGGCTAAGCGACACAGAGAGAGTTCAGAGCACCCTGTCTTTAGCAGAAGAGGAGGGACTCTGCAATCTACAGCACCCTGCCATGTCCACAAACATAGATAGATGGGAGGCTACAGTGTGGACGAGGTCAAGGAGGTCAAGTATTTTTCATCTCATGGGCCCACTCTGTTAGTGTTTTCCTATAGTGATGCTCGAAGTTCCAGAGCAAAAGGCTGAGCTCAGTGGAGTTAATTTATTAGCATTGTCTGCTGTGGGGCATGGGTGGAGGGGGATAGCTGAACTTCTGCCACAAATTTGCTATTTGGGCAGAGTGACGAGCCCAGTATTCTTTGAGGCCCAACTCCACTATGAAATACCCATATGACCTTCGGCCACCTAAACATTCCAAGTCTCAGTTTCCTCACCTTTATTCGTTCCTTAACACATGTTGTGAACAACTGCTAAGTGCTAAGTGTAGTTAGAGATGCAGGTGCTAATAAAGATAAGTACGACATGGTCAGTGCTCTTGAGACAAGTAAGTAGGAGAGGCGAACGTGCAAACATGAGTGGGGCCTGCAGTAGAAACCACAGCACTGTGGAAGTGGGAGGCAGACACAGTCTAAGAGAGCCAGAAAAAGACTTCCCAGGAAGCATTACAACTGAGTTGTCTCTTGAAGGGCAAGCAGTTGTTCATCCAGGTGGAGAAGACAAGCCATTCCTGGACGAAGGAACTGTGTATACAAAGGCCCCGAGGTGTGACAGAAGACAGTATATCGAAGCAATGGTGAGTTCTTTATGGCCTCCGTACAAGGAGGCATTTCCTAAAGGGCATTGAAGGGATGCTGATTCCAAGGGATGCCGCCCTGGGGAGAAAGGCTCTGTGGCAGTTCAGTTTAGGAAAAATCAAACTAGGGTAAGCAAAGTGACACCTCCTTTCGTGGACTTCTGAGAACTTTCCTTCTACTAAACTTCCCTACTGGCATGTTGAGAACAAGTTAATTTTTTTTATTTTTTTTAATTTTTTAAAATTTTTATTTATTTCTAGGAGACAGAGAGAGACAGCGTGAGCAGGGGAGGGTCAGAGAGAGAGGGAGATACAGACTCCGAAATAGGCTCCAGGCTCTGAGCTGGCAGTCAGCACAGAGCCCGACGCGGGGCTCGAACCCACGAACCGTGAGATCATGACCTAAGCAGAAGTCGGACGCTTAACCGACTAAGCCACCCAGGAGCCCCGAGAACAAGTTAATTTTTTAAAAAGCCACTGTATTCATATATACCTGATTTCTTTTTGAAAATGATCAGTGACTTAAACTTTGGCACATAAAACACAGCCGTTAGAACCAAAGTAGAGAAACTATCTAAGATTTATTAAGAGCAAGGGGTATAGCACATGCTTGAACTGAGGGTACAAGAATGCCTTTGTAGTTTGGTAAAGAATGTGGGCCCCACTTCAGGACATAATAGTCTGTGAACATGACTATGTCACCAATGAACTATTTTATCTGATCATAGAAACATGACTTCAATACATCCCTATGAATTAATTTCCCTTTATGATTCATGGCGGTTAAGAGCTAGCTCTGGAGACAGACAAGCCTGCGTTCAGATCCCAGGGCCACCACTTTCTATCTGCATGTAACCCTGGTTTCTTCACCACAGAATGGAGATGAGAAGAATACAGGTCTCTTAGTGTTGCCGTGAAAGTAAAATGTATGTGAAGTGGTTAGTAAGGTGCCTCGCTCTGTAGTAATCATGTAACAAATAACAGCTATTTTTATTTTTACTGAAGCCTGGGCTTGCTTTAAGTTTATTATCTTCTAGTTACAACATTTGGTACATGAAGCACAAGGAGATGGGGGCTGGTAACTATTCTTGGTAAAAAGCTACCACACCAAGCTGGTGTGGAAAACACTTCACTCTTCCATCTCAAAAGTGAGCTGGATGGAGCTTATCAGCCCTTGGAAGCAGACAATGTGACACAATCACTTCAATCCAAGGAAAATAATGTATACGCTATGGATGGAAATCAGTGTCCTTTCAGTGACCTGGAGATTTCAGGCAAGGGGAATCCTGCCCCCTTGTGGCCAGAGGGTACGAGAGGAGGACGAGGCGGATTTCTAGCTCCCATGATTGGAGTGGGACAGGAGTTCCTCTTCCTAGCAGCCCACCCCCGCCCCCCACCCCCACTCAAATTTTTGCCCACCTCGGATTTTATGAGACCCGGGGCAATTGGCTTAATGTGTGCCTTTTTCTTCTTCAGATCTGAAATCACATTATCTCTTGGTTTACTGAGAAGGAAGTTAAAGCACCAGATAGCTTTCTGTAGTTTTATGCAGTCAGTAGTTGACAGAGAATGAATCAGCCTTTAGTGGAACTTGACTATAAAAAAGACCTCATAAAATTTTGTATCTCATATTTCTGTGGAACAATTTTTTTTTTTTTTTCAGGCAAATAGGGGCCACGAAAACCACGCTTAGCGGGCTTGAGGTCTAAATAGGAGACGACTGAAGAACACTTAATAGAAACCAGGTTTCTGGACCAGATTTCTTCTGGACCAGATTACTTCTAACTCCAGCCCAGCTTCTCCAATATTAGGAAATCAGAGGATGGGAATCTTAATGGCTGGAAATGGGAAAGATAGATCCTCTTTGTAGCAGTTAACAGGGCCCTGGGCCCTAAAATCTGTGTAGTCATGAGAAGAGATCAGCTGAAAATTATGAACGAGATAAAAGTCCCTAAGTTAGGTAAATTTTTTTCAGCTGTGATTAAAGGCAATCTGTCAAAGGAAGAGTTCCCTGTTCTTCAGGGAGAAAACCCAAGACTCGAGTACCCTTTTAGAGGCCTGTTAGAGGCTTTAGGGGTATGGGCACATGGTGAAATAGTTGCCTCAGACTGAAGTTCAGTCTTCTAGCTTAGTAAAGCAGTGATTTGGAATCAGAAGAGAAGGCAAGAACAAAGAAAAATGCACCAATGCTTTTCTCCCTTCCTTTAGGTCTTTTGTTATCAGTAAAGAGAAAACCTCTATACTGGATGGCCAGCAATAAAGCCAACCTTGTTGATAACAAAAATTCTGGATCACAAGATATATTTATCAACACTGATAGCAATGGCAGAGCAAAAGCAGAACTAAGAACTCTAGGGGAATAAAGGTTGACTTAGCAGCAGCATTACAGGTAAAATACCCAAGAGCCATTAGAAAGCAGGATCCTGATCTATAACTTTGGCGGGGGGGGGGGGGGGGGGGGGGGGGGGGGGGGGGGGAGGGAGGGGGGCAGGCTGGGTGGGGGAAGTGTAGAAACCTTTTTTCAGACAGATGCTTTTAGTTTCTTAGTGACTGGGGAGTCTAATACCATTAGTATTTCCCTTTTTATAACTCAAATTTTATTTTCTTCAGTTCTGGTTTTTAAAGAAGATTCTGCAATACCTAAGTAGTTTATTGGTGACCATTTTAATACACTGTTTGGAAATACTTTTAGTCATAATCTGTTTCAAGTCACTAAAACTGCCTTGTGAAGAAACGTTTGATCTGAAAACATTTGCCCTATTAGAGGCAGAAAGGGCTTTGATTCTTATAAACGAACTAGGGACAAGAGAGATTGGTTTGTTCAAGGTCAGCCTGGTGATTATAAAGCTGATTTCCTGAGTCACAGATGATTACTTTCCATCCCATTATGCTACCCCCAACCCCAAAGTGGATTCAAAAGGCTTGTTTTGTGGAAGGAATCTTAACCAAGGTTGTTTAAAAAAAAAAAAAAAAAAATCCTTACCTCCTGAACAAATGTCTGTCTAGGAAAAGAAAACAGCAATCTCAAATTATATTCCTTACTGTCGTCTTCACATATTCAGGGAGAAAAGAGAAATCAGATCCATGTGAGTTTTACAAAATAAAAAACTTGTTTCTCTTTTCATTGTTTCTGTTCCCTGAGCTGATTTAATGGCGCTCAAAGACTGTCTTTAGGGACCCAACATCTTGTATCCCTCAGTGCTTGGGAACCACATTTTGGTTCTTCATTCAAAAAATTATTTTGGGGCGGGGCACCTAGGTGGCTCAGTCAGTTAAGTGTCCAACTTTGGCTCAGGTCATGATCTCACGGTTCATGAGTTCGAGCCCCGCACTGGGCTCTGTGCTGACAGCTCAGAGCCTGGAGCCTGCTTTGGATTCTGCATCTCCCCCTCTCTCTGCCCCTCCCCCACTCATGCTCTGTCTCTGTCTCTCAAAAATAAATTAAAAACATTTTTTAAAAATATTTATTTGTCATTTGTTCAGTCTGTAAAACCTAATGATCAACCGGTAGTCAAGATATGGTGGTGAGTAGTGTGCTGCAGGGGCCTGAATGCCTGTATACCAGTAGGCCAGTGCCTGGTCTATAAACTGGTTTTTCCTCCCGGCAGCTGCGTTCGGAATGCGTGCAGTTCAGCCCGCAGGACCACGGTCTCAGGCTGCAGCCCTGCCTGAAGGCTATGTCCCATTGACCTTTTCGGCAGTGCTTATGAACTGGTCACCGGTCTGCCATTGCTAATTTTAGCCCTGTCTGGAGATGGGCCTGCTGTTCTTACCCAGAATATTCTGCACTGACTAAAGCAGCCTCAGAAGAATTGCTTCCATTTTCACATATCGAGATGAAAATGGATTTTCAACAATGACTGTGATAAAAACCAAAGTACCAGACAGAAGTGGTCATTTGGACTCCATTTTGTGTGGCACTAGCAGTTTTAAAAATGTTACTACTTTGCGGGGCGCCTGCGGGGTCAGTCGGTTAAGAGTCCGACTTCGGCTCAGGTCATGATCTCACGGTTCGTGGGTTCGAGCCCCGCGTCAGGCTCTGTGCTGACAGCTCAGAGCCTGGAGCCTGTTTCAGATTCTGTGTCCCTCTCTCGCTCTGCTCCTTCCCTGCTCATTCTCTGTCTCTCTCACTCTCTCAAGGATAAATAAACATTAAAAAAAAATTTTAAAAAAAAGTTACTACTTTGGGAGACCCAAAAGTCTTAAGATCTCCAGACTGACAAACCTCTGTCAATAAAACAATAGCAGAAAGTGTAACTTTGTAAAATAAAATGTCACCATGTGATCTTGATATTGCATCTGAAATTAGTTTTAAATATTTAAATATATGCAGTGTTTGTCAGTGTAAGGTTGCTAATAGTCCATTTTCTGAGATTTTGATGTTAAAGTGTTTAATGAAATGGTGGTGATAATGAATGGTAGCTATGGCTTTAATATCCTCATATCTGAGAAAACAGTAAGTTGTTACTTATGTTGGTTCTAAAAGTTTTAAAATTTTGGTAGTCTGAACTCCTTGAGTTTTAAGAAACCACCTTGGAAATGTCAACACAGTAAAACTTAATATAAAGTGCATTCTCTCTTGGAAAACTGTAGATGAGAACTAAGCCACTTTCTGAAATCATTCAATGGGAACCAGCAATTTGGTAATTTACCCCAAACACTTGATGTTTCTAACAGACCTGAGTCAACAAAGTCATCCACAACTTTCAGATTCTTTTTAAATTATCTAACAGAAACTGAAATCTTTTTTTCTTAATTTTTTTACATTTATTTTTGAGAGACAGATTACAAGTGGGGGAGGAGCAGAGAGGAGGAGACACAGAATCTGAGGCAGGCTCCAGGCTCTGAGCTGTCAGCACAGAGCCCAATGCAAGGCTCGAACTCACAAACTGAGAGATCATGACCTGAGCCGAAGTCAGACGTGTAACCGACTGAGCCACCCACGTGCCACAGAAACTGAAATCTGTGAGGTGGATGAGGGTTAGCGATTTCCCTACAATCTCTACCAAATTAGAAAAAGAAGAAAAAAATCAAGCCTAGATCATACTGTCCCACATACAGACTTTAATACACGTGTCGGCAAGCATGCAAATGTTTGTGCAAACTGCTCTGTAAGGTCAGGGAAGCCTACCTCTCTGTTTTGGTAGTTCACCTACCACTTTCCACAAAAGGTCTGCTTAAGGCAAACTTGACAGTATCCCAGAAGTGAGACTGTCCTAATTTAGTCAGCAACAAGAAACCAGAAGTCCTTGGACAAGATGGCAGGAAGCGAGACCATTGAGGGGTCACACCTCAGGCATCAAGCCTCAATGTCCAGGTTACAAGCCTCACCAGACTCTTCCGTCCTTTTCCATGCAAAGGTGGGGAACTAACTACGCTTTAGTAATTTAGTCATTTCACATGTCCTGAATACCTCTAGTGTTACCAATGGGAGCCACTACTGTTATGTTACATTGATCGACAAGCTATTAATTTCAAAAAACCTCCCTCAAACATTACGAGTTATCGCAGTCTCTGGCGGTGACAGAGACAGGGACAGCAGCAGCGCTGGGAACAGCTCTCTATGGCATCTCTGTCCACTCCTGGAGTGGAAAGTCCAGGCTGGGGCTGCTGGTGGCCTTGGGGGGTGCGCAAAACCTGACTAGTGCCTGGAAATACTACCGAGGACACAATTAGGAAAAGAGAAAATATTATACAGTTTCCCCAATTTCTCAGGACCCAGTAGCTTTTGTTCCAGGTGGGGCCAAGGGGAAGTCGGCGTGAGGACAGGTAAGGGAAGAAGGGGGTACTCTGTTCTGAAAAATTGCCCACCCTAAACTGTTAATGCCACCTGCTGCCCTTTCGACAACTGTAACAAATTCTTTCTAGGACTACTTGATACACCATAGAAACTCTATGGCTTCTTATGAAAGTGATTGTGTTATAAGACTTAATTTTATTAGAAAAATAGAATTCAAAATATTTTATTTTTATTTTGAATCATCAATTCCAGAGGGAAGCACAGTATCCTCAAACGGAAAAAAAAAAAATTAAAAATGGAGAAAAATATTAACTACACATGCCCTTACCAAGCACAATGAAAATAAAATGATAAACTGCAAAAAGGCAAAACTAATATAGGCCTTCAAAGTAAGATTATATTTTTTGTGTGTGACACGTGAAATCAATTTGTAGTCACCAAAGCATCGCAGTTCGCCTGAGGAAACACTCCCCCTACTGGACTTTCAAGGGAACCTGAACAAGTGAATTCTTAAGGTGAGGAGAAACCACAAAATAGGAAACTCTATTAATAATCAGTACCTTGGTGGGTGATGTAGAAAGAATTACACTCATTAGCTTATGAATTCTAAATAGTTAAAGATAGGTGCAGCCAAAAAGACTGACTTTAATGTGCAAAAATGTCAATCTTTCCCTGTTAAACTGATACACATTTTAACTTCTTCACTGGTTCAACTTTTAAAAAGTACTTCAGATCAAGAGCAATTCAGAGCCTAGTAACAAATTAAATAGTGGCTAATAAGATGCTAAAAGTGGCTAATAAGAAATGGAGGTTCTTTCATCTGACGAATGTTTACTGAATAGGCACTCTTCTAGGCACAGGACAGACCAGTGAACAAAAACCAAAAGTAACTGCCCTATTTTAAAGGAAATTATAGGGGGCACCGGGGTGGCTCTGTTGGTCGAGTGTCCGACTTCGGCTCAGGTCACAATCTCATGGATCTTGAGTTTGAGCCTCATGTTGGGATTCTTTTTCTCTGCCCCCCCGCCTCCCCGCACTCTTTCACTCTCAAAATTAAGAAATTTTTAAAAAGAAAAAATAAAGGAAAATTATAGTCTTTGAAATGCTGATTACATACTTTCCTAATTACGTTTTAGATTTGTTCTGTTCTTGATGTAGATTCATTCATTTACTACCTCAGCATATACTTTACAAAACCCCACTCTTCGTACCAGCTGGCATGCTGAGATTACTTGGGGGGCTTAGTAGGATCAGGTAGTCACTCTCGGCTAGATACCCAGAATCACCCCTGGGCCTGGGAACAGCGCCCACAGCTGTTCTGGGGATCATTTCCCTGAAGTGGTTTGCTGAACTACTCTCCAAACCAATTTCCTCTAATGCCAAGTGGCCAATTTTAAGGTAAGCATCCCAAATATATCCTTTTGATGATTATTGTGTGGTTCTTAGCCACTGATAACATAGGACATTTTTATGGGTAGGGAGGAGGGGGATCACAGGTCACAGTAGCTGGCATTAGTGGGGCCAGAGGCCAGGGAGGCTAAATGAATCCTGCAGTGGAATGAGTTTTTTTCCGATGAAGAACTGTCACATTCACAAAGGCCAACAGTGCTGTCCAACACGGAGCTGTTACCATGTGGTGCAGGAACTTTATTTTAGTTATGTATTTTTCTATTACAAAACAAGTCAGATAATTTTAGTATTGTATTTTATTAAATATTTACTTGCCATAAAAATTCATCAAAAACGACCCAAGAAAGTGCAAAATCACTTGATAACTGTTTTTCTACACCTTGGTTTGGATGAGAAAGTCTTATAAGCAAATGGAGGGTATCCGAGAAGTACTTACTACAGTACTTCATGCACTGAACAGCTCTGAGAAGAAGAAATTCTGTTATTCTGAAGACTTAAATCTTGTTCATGTATTTCTTTAAAATGTATACTTTAAAGGTAAATCATATAATTACTCACACTTGTTTGGTAAAGCCTAAACTTCTGAGCATTTGGGAAGAAATCACATGTAAAAGCATTCACTTCAATGCAACTGAATGCTATTGATGCAAAACAAAACAAAACAAAACACCCATATCCTTCAAAAAAGTGGCTGAACGTGCATCCGAATTTCCTGGGGAAAATGATCGCAGCTACAGCCTGCCGGCCCACCCCTGGCGTCTCTGACGAGTCTCCAGGTACTGCTGACATGCTCAGTCCAGGCACCACACTCTAAGGATCACTGCGTTAAGATAGTCTTCAGAAGTCAAACTAATAATTCATGCCCAGATGCTGCTGCTTTTTCTAATAGTAAATAAATAAAAGAACATTTCAGGTATGGAATCATCAAACTTTACATCTTTAGATTCTTAAAAAGTCCTTCTTGAATAGATTGTTCATCTTGGCTCAAAATGATTCCCATGAGTTCAAAAGACAGAACCAGAGGACCGGCCAGTACTGGGTGACCTATGACTGCATGAAAACATTTACTTACAAAATACACAGCAACTATTAGGGTACACGGACCTTGTTCCTATCTCCTCCATGCTTCTTCCTTTTAGAAAACCCAGTATCCTGGGGAGTAATATACCCAGACTGAGAATGTGACCGATCATGAATGTTCACATAGGTATCACAGCAAATGCCATACTTAAGACTCTGATTCAGGGACTTCCTCGTCAGGGCAGCAGTAGTATTCCACAAAACATATCTGTCCATCTTCATTTCTAATCATATACTGTAATGAGAGGAATCCTCGGTTATCTGTTCGAATAGACACCTTACATGATAGGACTAATGCCTTTGTAGAGGGCTTCAGTAAAGAAATCTTGTATCTGTAGAGGAGTAAATAAAAAGCTGTTATTTGGACACATTGAAAGCAGTGCTCATAACTCCCAAGGGAAGGACAAAAGTGAGCCAAGAACTACCTAGTAGTAAATGTAAGAATAAAATCAAATACTTGTCAAATTTGCTAATATTTTTCATTTTAAAAATGTCATCCATTATCACCACCCCAAATCCCCAAGTAAACCCAGCAACGTACTATTTATGTCGTTAGAATATCATACCTTTAGCAATAAATTGAAAGTTTTATAACATTTAATAGATATGTGGTCCTCAACCTCACCTTCATGACTAAATATTATTAAGAACTGACCTGTTGACCTGGGTCTGATTACATTGAAATGATTCCATCAAATCAGAATCTTTGGGATAATCAAGGTGGGAGCTTCCTGCATTCCCAAAAGTAGATAACCTAGAGTAAAAAAAAAAAAAATTGAGCAACTCATTTATTCACTGGTCCAACAATAAGCCGCATAAGGATCCCAATAAAGACACCTCCTTGAAAAGCTCATTCGCGGGAGCACCTGGGTGGCTCAGTCCGTTAAGCGTCTGCCTTTGGCTCAGGTCATGATCTCACGGTTCATGGACTCGAGCCGCGCGTCGGGCTCTGTGCTGACAACCAGCTCAGAGCCAGGAGCCTGTTTCAGATTCTCTATTTCCCTCTTTCTCTGACCCTCCCCCTGCTCACGCTGTCTCTCTCTCTCTCACAGAAATAAATTTAAAAACTTAAAAAAAAAAGCGCTCATTCATGGAGTGAAACAGATATGTAAACAAATGGTGACGATTATGACAATCACAGTAACAAAGACCCCTGCAGGATGGTGTGGGAGTACAGCAGAACCAGCAACTAATAAACAGCTTGGAGAAAAAAAATCAATCACAAAAGGAATCCAGGGGTGTTTGCCTCTATTTCATTACCTTAGTTCTACTCTGATACTCATTTTTCTACATCCTTAAATCAGAAATAGGGGCGCCTAGTGGCTCAGTCAGTACGCATCTTGATTTTGACTCAGGTCATGATCTCACGGCTCGTGAGATTGAGCCCCGCGACAGGTTCTGTGCTGACGGTGCAGAACCCGCTTTTTGCTCTCCCTCTTCCTCTGCCCCTCCCCCACATTCTCTTTCTCTCTCAAAATAAACAAACATTAAAAAAATAATATAAAAGGAGACAGTTGAAGAGTGATGGAAAACCCTGATGCACCTCATCTGCAAGCCTGGGATCCTGTCCCCTCTCTACTGCCACACCCAGCAATTACAGCTCTTCTGTTTCTATTTAGGCTGTTTCATGGCTTTCCTTATTTGGTAATATCAGCAGTTTGTGTGTAGACAATTTGTAAATGTTTACACGCTATTTAATCTGCAAGAGTCTACTGACCACTTGCTATGGGGTTAACAAGTCAGTAGGTACTACGTGGGCACAGACCTACGTGCTGGTCTTCCCCAGGTTCCATCTTGTAGCTCCTCTAACGTAACCTCCTCCTCTGAGCCATCCTGTCCAGACTCCCATATCTAAATTTCTAGTCTAGACAGATCTCCTGTACTTCCTGAGTCCAACTACTCCTTAGTGTCATAGACACCTTAAATTTAACAAAACCAGAAAGAAATTTCACCTCCTGGTTCCCCCCATACCAGAGATGAAAGATACCATGATCCATCTGGTTACTATGCGAAGATATCATATAAATGGTGGTCCTCTGAAATATACTGTACAGGTGTCCAGAATATTAACTCATGTCACTGCTTATGGTTTCACTGATTTCCAGTTTGGTTAACATTTGAACCAATCTTGGGCCAAATTTTTAACTGCCTAATGTCATGATAAGAGACTTCAGTTCTTCTAGAGTAGATGTAAAAAGAACAACTTATACCTCTCATTCATTATGCATTTAGCTCCTTTACTCTTTAATATTCTGATGTATTTCAAAAGAGAAGAAATATTTAAATCTTCCAAACTTATTCTAATCCTGAAAATTTCATAATTTGTTGGTTCAAAATATCAGGAGCAACCTGAAAGTTTTTGACATTGTGTTCCTGCTGAAAATTACCCTCCCTCAGGAAGCTTACTTCAACTAATCATCCCTAAGTAGTCATGTACTGTTCCCTAAGAATCTGTGTATTGTTTTGGTACTTAATGGCATGCAATCCTGTTTCTTCTATGCTGTTTCACATATCTTCTCTTCACCTTGATTTTAAGCTGTTCCTTTCCAAAGTGTTTAAAAAGAAGAATATACACACAGTAGGTGACTAGTAGTCAGTGAATGAACCAGGTATAGAAAACATCTGCTCCCTTTTGCATCCTGTACTAACTTGAAAGGGAAGAAAAAGAAATACCATATGATACGAACACCTTTTCCAAAAGTTTAAGCCCAAATTTTCCTCGTGATGTAACCTGATCTACAACAGTACAATGAAAAAACCATTAGTTTATGAAATAGGAGACTGGGCTACTGATCTATAAACCAACACTACATAACTATGAAGCTTTAAGTCGTGAATTCATCTTCCTGGACCTTAAGTTTCCCGAACTATAAAAATAAGAGTAAAAGCTCTCTAAAGATCTGAAAATTCTAGGAAACTGGATAATAAAAGTTCTGCATCCCAAGCAAATGTGTAAGTAGGGAGACAGAGAAGACTACATGAGCTTTAATTGTGCTATGTTCAAATACCTGAAATAAGGCTTGTCAGGAGACATGGTGATCTGCAGGACCTCACTCGTCATATCCAATTCGGAAAATGCTTCACGGAGCCCCTCTGACTGCAGAATAATTTTATTAATAACATTGGTGCTGCAGAAATCAAAATCCAGAGTCTCCTCAGGCTCCTGAGTATTGATTTTACAGACTGTCACCACCCCTCCTTCTTCCAGAAAGAGCATCAAAGGGTAACCATAACCTTGGTAACACATCCGCAGTGCAGTTAAAGTGCCTGCAATGGAAATAAATCGAAGGTTGAGCTTAGCTTTATAGTACAGGTTCAGCTTCTCCTTAAATAATACATAAAACTCCTGAAGATTATTTTATTCTGCCCAGTTTCTAGCACACATGTATCTCTTTAGAAGAAGGGATCCTATCTTCCCTGATGACGGTTATGTGTAGACAGTTCAAAAAATAACTGTAACAAAACTGGGAACCAGAACAAAATATAATGTAACTCTTTGAAATTGTCTTCCAACTTGCCAAAAAAACCTCAGAAACGGCTTACTGATTTCATAGATCTACAATTTCAGTATGGAGAATCTGCATGGACCAATACTGCAAGTAACAGAATTACTGCAGAAGAAGCTGTGCTATTTCTCAAAGGTTCAATGCGTGCACGCAGCAGTGGCCTGCTTTCATGCCGTCTGCATTATAATGTCAGTGTACTCATTGTGACAAGGAATCAATCTTTTTTATTGGGAGATATTATTTATACTTTCTCAAGTTTTAAGATCAAATTGGGAGAAAGAGAGGGTGGTTAATGGTGGTGTGGACTTTAACACTGCAAACCACTAGAGAGGAGGAAGAATAGGACAGGATATTTTAGGCTCCTTTCCCTTAGTGGATGGAGAGCCACAATGCGGAATGGGGGAAAGCAGATGCTTTTATGAAAAACCAGCTAGGGAAAGCTGCATTAGAAAACTGTACAATTAGCAATAACAGAATTATTGGTATAAAATGAAAATATATTTTCTAGAGAACCACAGCCTAATTTTCCCTAATTATCTCCAGATTCCTTTCCTATGAAAGAAAATCATTCTTCTGGTGATTCCTTGTAGTCGTATATCCAGAGCAACTGAGTTCACTATTCCTAAAAAAATTAAATGTATAAATATTTTAAAAGAAAACATTTCAGAAAATAGATGATTTACAAACAGGGCTTAAGGAAATAAGAGCAAACAAATTTTGAACACAGTCAACTAGGAGTCAGGAGTGTTGGTTTGTTTTCTCTGCCACTAAACTGTGTGAATTCTGAACACGTTAGGGAAAAGAAGCAATACATGTTTCACACGTTCTCACAATGTTAAATAGAGATAATTAACACATATTCAGTCTTCTCTTGGTCAGTTCAAATTTAAAATCCCCAAAACTTTGTAAATTAAAAAAAGATTAATGTAAATATTTTTGCAAACATTTTGCAAATATTTGTAAAGAACCACAGCACACTTTCTATTAATATTGTGAAAAGTTAGAATCCATGATTGTGACCAATATAAAATGAATTTGCAATTTCTAAGATACGTTTATTACTTCTAATGATGTTTCCTGTATTTTTCTGATCATTCTGTATAACACTTTTGTGTCATTATAATGATAATAAAATGGTTCACCTGGCATAGGACTTGATCCAAATATAGATAAACAGTCTAAAAGGACAGTTAAATTTATTCGAAAAGTAACAGACTCTTCCTGAACTATAAACTCTTGAAATATTCCAGCCTGTGAAAAAAAAGGAAACATGAAAATGCATATATATTAATGAAAACTCACACAGAAGGTTCTATATTTCACTTTCTATGTTTTAAAAATAATATTATTCTAATTCCATGAAAATTTCTGATTACCAATAAAAACATCTTAAGCTTTTTCAACTATTATCCATTAAATAATACTACTCAGTAGTTCAAAGTGTAACAGTGATTTCAGTACCATGCAAAACTTTATCAAGGGTACTTTATCTAGTTTCTTTGATCTAAACTATCGTCCACATGACTTATCCCTTGTCTCATTTTTATGCCTATCAATAGAGCTAAAGTCACTTGGAATATAGCTAAACATGTGCATAAGTGATACTAGTTTTCTAATTTCTTTTGAGGAGAGGAACCGTGTCTTATCCCTCTATATCTGAGATCACACTGCACATTTAGGTGTTCCAAAAAAATGTTGGAATAATTTTGAAATCCTATCTGAACCACAAAAATATAACTTTGTAAGAACAAACTTTCTATTATGACCAATAAAAGGGAAAAGCAAAGCAGTGGCCAAGAGCATTTGCTCTGGAAACAAATGTTTGGGTTCTGATCCCAGCTCAGCCACTTGATCTGGCGCTGTTGGCAGATCACTTAAACTGTACCTCAGTTTCCTCACACATAAAATGGGAATAATAACAGAACCTACCTGATAGGACTATTGTATTAAATGAGGTTAAGTATCTAAAACACTCATAATAGTACCTGGCCCATAGTTTAGCTTAGTAAATTCTACATTATTATTATTACTAACCATTATCTCTATAAAACGAGAAAAGAATTTGCCAGGAGAGGGGAAGAATTCAAATAATGACATACTGCTCTCTAATTTAAATGATGTCTATTAAGCCTGTTGGAATTCATTAAACTGGGTGAATTATATCAAATGTCGTAGGCTTAAAGATGCCTACTTGCATACCTGGATAAAAGCATTTGCTTGCACACACTTTGCATTTTCCACTGTAACCTTGATTCCATTTTTCGTAGCGAAACAGGTAGCGTGTTCTCGGAAATGAATAGCCTTCAAGATAGTGGAGAGATTCCTAACGTTGTCAAGACTGGCCACTAAGCTGTAATCATTCTCATCTTGGATCTGTGGAGTTAGAAGGGGCATCGTCCACTGTACATCTGTCCCCAAGGGATGTTCCCAGTGCCAACACTTGCTGCTGCGGATCGCGAGACACCTGATGAGATAAGACAACAAAACTCCGGATCAATGTCGGCAAGGCCCGCGAAGTCAACCTGCGTCGAGGCGAAGCGGACGAGGCCTCGGCATTGAACTCAGCTGCACAGGGACTGGACCCACCTCTGGCCCTGTAACTCCGTAACTTTGGGGGGAAATTACACCTCTCTAAGCCCCGGTTTCCCGGTCTTTAGTAAGGGCCCACGAACACAGGAAAAGTTGTGAACAACGGCAACAGGCAACTAACACGGTAGTTCTACTTGAGGCCAGTTTCGCCACGCCAGACTCGGGCTCCGTGTTCCCGCAGAGTCGGGTTTGAGCTGTCCGGCGCCCCCAACCTTGCCCCTAACAGGAAAGGCGATGGAAGGCGGGCCCCAAGTCCTCGGAAGGTCCTCCCGTCCTGGGGCGCGGAAACTTTACCTCTGTGGCGGGGTCTGGACGCCCGAGAGCCCTTCGCAGCCAGGTCACCGGGGGAGCGAGCCTCGCCTCCCGGTTAGCTGGGCAGGAAGCGGAGCGGCTCCCGCCACTCCTTTCAGACCAGACAGCCACTTCGGCCACCGTCACCACAGAGTTAGCGGTGGCCTAGAGAGCCGCGAGTGCGTTACCAGAAACCGGAAAAAGGTACCATAGAGCCGGGGGACCGCAGAGCCGAGCGCACGGTATCATAGAGATCGGAAAGGGGCGCGAGCGGCGGAGCCGGAAGGAAAGCTGAGACAGAAGGAGATCGGGCAAGATGGCGGCGACCAAGAGGAAGCGGCGTGGAGGCTTGGCCGTTCAGGCGAAAAAGCCAAAACGGAACGAAACGGATGCCAAGCAGCCAGCTAAGCTACAAGACATGGTAGAAGAGGCGGAGGAAGAGGAGAGAAACCGTATCCCAGGCCCCGTTTGCAAGGTAGAGAGGGCTTACCTCCTGGTTGCACCTGCGGCTGCGGCTCTACGCGCCTTCACGGGGCTCTCCACCAACTGACGAGAGCCCTGCTGATTTCGGAGTTGCCTGTTACGCGAGCTCGGTCAGCTCTCCTCCCAATGGGACAGGGCGCCGCGCTTACAGCTAGCTCTCGTGCACGTGGCCGCCTTCCTGGAGGTGGCCGGCGGGGGAAGTGCGCCTGCTGCGGAACACTTAGTCGTTTTTAGGAAGCGACGTATGGGGTACTCAGTCTCAGTGTTCTCTCCTAGTAACTTCATTTTTCCCCTTGCGGGTGGTATTACTTTTCCTTAAAGTTATTTCTCGCTGATGAATATATATTTCTCCCAGTGGTTAGTATCCCCTTATCCCGCCTTAGTTACTGGCCGTCAGGGACCCTAAAGCTTGTTTTGCAGTCCGTTGAAGAGATGCTCTCCTTGTGGCCTTTGACTTGTGTGATCAGGTCTTTAACTCTTCAGGAATGATGAAAGCTAGACCAGATACAATGAATTTTTCTTGTATTCACATTTGCAATATGTCAGGCGTGGCACGAAGTTAGTTTTGAGGATTGCTAAACTAGAGGGTGACTCCTTTCTGAAGTGTTGGGAGTTTAGAAGGAAACTAATTCATGTAAGTTCATGGTTGTATTCAGAAGAAAGTGAACACAAGTTGTTGGGCCTAACGTCCATTCCTTAAGCTAGATCCAGTACTGTGGGGAGACAAAGATGGTCTTTGATTTTTTCCTCTTTTGATTCTTTTTCTACTTTTCCTGACCCTTAGCATAGTACTCTAGCAGGTGGTAGGTGATAAGTGACTATATATGGTGGTGGCAAGGCATTAGGAAAAGAGTTAGCTCTGAGGGATAAAAAGTGCATTTAAATTCTAGCCCTGCAGTTAATTAATTAATGGCCACAGTTTGAGCTCTTTCCTCATCTGCAAATTAAGAGGAAGAAAATGTATTTCACTTTGTGAAAAATAAGCTGCACTTCTAGAAGATTTTCAGTAAATGTTAATGTACCCACTCTTCCCTTCAACTGAGAAGAAGTAGGATAGTATCTATGACCTGAGCCATAATGTGAGAAATTGTATGGAGGTTTGGAAGATAGAGGTTACTTTTAGGACAGTGAGGTCATGAAGGATTTAGATTTAGCCCTTGAGCTGGATCTCAAAGTACGGGCACAATTTCAGTATTCGATATTCAAAAATGAATGATCAGAGGCAGTGACATGGAGGGAAAACGTTCAAAATTAAAGAAAATAGAGCCAGATTAACTTTGGTAGTGTTGATTTGGGGCAATAGTGAGGTAAAAATACGCATATGTTTTCTAATCCAGTGTTAAAGTGATGTCATTTTGGAGTTTGCTTAGAAAATCCAGGGAGGTTAAGATGTGATTGAATCAGTGCTTTAAAAAGATTAAGCTATAGCCGGTCATACCCTATTGAAGAAACCCCTATCTGGGAAGGCTAGCCATTCAGGAGATTTAAGGTGATAAGGATTTACTGTGAATATGAGGCTCAGGACACTGAAGCAACCTATCCAAGGTCACACAGTAGTGGCTCTACTTACAATACACACATTTTTGGTATGTTTTTCAATTACTCCTAAGTTACTTCTCTGTAACCTAAGGGATGCCTTTGTAATAAAGGTGTTTAACTCAAAAAATAAAAAAAGATGGTTAGGATCTGAATGAGGGCTCTGTGAATGGGAAGGGATTAAGAGTTGTTGCAAAGAGAAATCAGCAGCATTGAGGAGTGCTTGTGACATAGGAGAATGGGGCAAATAGGTATTTCAGAGCCTGGGGGGATGGAAATGATGGCATCATGAGAAAAATAAACAAGAAATTTACTGTATTTAAGGCGTAGTATTCCTAGAGTTGAATTTAAGGTATTAAGTCAAATACTTGGTATTAGGAGTGGGGAGAGGAGAGTTCCTTACCTTTCTATAGATATGACAATTGAAGCTATGGAATGATTATGAGAACTCTGTCCTGGAAAGAACAAAAATAAAAAGAGGGCTAGGAAAGAATCTGGAGTCAGGAGGAGGAATTGGAAAGATGGAAGAAGAAAAACCAAAAGTGAGGAAAGTCAGAGCATTTCTGGGAGGCAGCCATGGTCGGTGAATTCCTCGGGGAGAGTGTCAAGATTGTTTGGCCTGCTACCTGGAAGCTTTTTATGAATCTTTTTGTGTCTCTCTACTCACCTTATATACAAGGAGTTAATTTTTTTTTTTTTTTAGTAGTTAACTTTTTCCTTGGCTGTATTATTTTATTAGAATCAAGAGCTACCTTTAGCTTGCTTCTTTAGATAGGGGATCTAAATTTTGTCTGTTAGATAAAATGGGGACTTTTGTTTCCTTTTTTGGCTCTTCCCATGATGCCATGATGCTTTGCCATTTCTGTCCTGTATGACAGATACATAGTGGTTATCTAAATAAGGATTTCATGCTGTTCTTGCCTCCATGCCTTTACTGATTTGCTTGCTTGTTGACAGTCTTCCCTGACTCCTGGTAGGAACCTAGTAAATATAAGTTAATACTAAAGTTCTCTTGTGAAAGGAATATTGACTAGGGAGTGCATTCTGATTTCAGCAGTGAAAAGATTCTAGAGCGAAACATGTCAGTTCTTTGAATTACACACATGGGAGAGAGGCAGAATTAGGGATGTAGTCTTGATACATTGGAGGATGGTGGAGTATTAACTGGATGCTTTTAAAGCTATCATGAAAAAACAAGGTAGCTTCAGTAAGAGATTTAAAAATCTTCACATTTCCTTTTTTCTTTCAGGGCAAGTGGAAAAATAAGGAGCGGATTCTTATCTTTTCTTCTAGAGGAATAAATTTCAGAACAAGACATTTAATGCAAGACTTGAGAATGTTGATGCCTCATTCTAAAGCAGGTGCCTTTATATCCTACATTTTAAAAGTTCTTTTTTTTTTTTTTTTAAATGTTTTATTTATTTCTAGGAGAGAGAGAGACAGCATGAGCAGGGGAGGGTCAGAGAGAGAGGGAGTCACAGACTCGGAAACAGGCTCCAGGCTCTGAGCTGGCAGTCAGCACAGAGCCCAACGCGGGGCTCGAACCCACGAACCGCGAGATCATGATCTGAGCGAAAGTCGGACGCTTAACCGACTAAGCCACCCGGGCGCCCCTACATTTTAAAAGTTCTTAAATACATTTATGTGTTTTTACTTTCAATCACCGTTCAACCTTGTCATTTGTTCAGCCTTAGGTAAAGAACTAAGCCATCTCAGAAGTTCATCTTTTCAGTGACAGGATTTTTCCAGTTAACACTTTGTTAGAAATTCTTTGCGAAATTCATTAAACATTTCCTTCACTTTCTTAGATATTAACCTGCTATTAATTATCAAAACGGTGTTTGAGGATCCAGGAATGCCTTCCTTGTAATGCTCTCAAAGGTTACAAGCTAGTTTGTCCTCCTGAATAATTCAGGACTGCCATGTATTGCTATCTACAGTTTTTTTTTTTTCCTAAGTGTTCTTGGAATTCCTGGGTGGCTCAGTTGGTTAAGCATCTGACTCTCCGTTTCGATTTCGTCTCTTGGATCGAGCCCCATGTCCAACTCTGCGCTGGCAGAGCAGACCCTGCTTGCGATTCTCTCTCCCTATCTGTCTCTGCCCCACCCATGCCCACGATTGCTCTCTCTCTCGCTCTCAAAATAAATAAACTTAAAAAAACTGTTCTTATTAAGAAGTTAATAGACTGGAGTAGGATTTGAAGCACCTTTAATTTGGGGCTTAGCCTACTTCTAAATGCCAAGATAGTCTTTTTAGCAATGATGTGTCCTGCAGCCAGGTGAAGCTGTAACCTTAGACATGTGGCACTACCACCATGCAGCTGCTTCTGTGTCTGGGTCAGAGGGCGCTTTTGGCTCTAATTCTAGGTAATAGCTTTGTTTCTTAGACCACTGTTTCTCAAACCGGGGTCTGTTGTTATATCTTCATATCTCTAAAACTAACAAGAGATTTAATTTATATTGTTTTTTTCTGTGATCTAAAACAGTTTTTTTTTTTTCAGTCTGTCTCCTTTGACAACTATGATTCAAGATTGAAAGAAAGTTTTCTACAGTTCAAATTTTAGTTTCTTCAGTGAATGTTCCTAGTTCCTTCAGTGAATGCAATCCTAGAACATAGTCTTTGTGAGAATGTTTCCATATTTGAAAGGGACTTAAAGAATATCTAAAGTTGATGAGAAACACTGCTAAGATCATAGTTTATGATGCTTGAGGACTATTTTTAATCAGTCATTTTTATAAAAAGTGAATATTTTTTAAAAAGTCATGTATTTTTAGATCTAATAATTTTGAAAAGTAATAAAACATGGGGTGCCTGCATGGCTTGGTTGGTTAAGCATCCAGCTTTGGCTCAGGTCATGATCTTACAGTTCGTGAGTTCAAGCCCCGTGTCAGGCTCTGTGCTGATAGCTCAGAGCCTGGAACCTGCTTCAGATTCTATTTTTCCCTTTCTCTCTCTGTGCCTCGCCCGCTCACACACTGTCTCTCTCTCATACTCAAAAATAAAATATTTTTTAAAAAAATTATTCTCTTTTAAACTGAAGATTGTAAAAATAGTACTTTTTTAGAAAGAGTGTGTGTGATTTGTTTGAAATAGCTTTGAAATCTTACTTTCTTTATTCTTTTTATAGATACGAAAATGGATCGTAAAGACAAGTTATTTG